TTCCTCACTTGTGTGATGAAAACTGAGCCCAGGCTATTGTGATTATGGGCCCAGCTACCTGCTGCCCACAGGTGACCGTTGCACCTGTAAGGCCAGCCAGCTTCCTGCACACCCAGGTCTTCTGCAGCCACCTGCGCTTAAAGTCCTGCCCTGCAGGTGCCTCAGCCATTAACCGTTGAGGATTTCCTGGTGAAGCTTATTTCTTTTATTGCAGGGATTATACTAGATGCAGAGCACAGGTCCAGGCACTGTGGATGATATAGAGATGTATTGCGGCTCAGAGGAGTGTACAGTCTTGTAGGAGAAAGATGTTCAGCACTCACTAGACGAGCAAATGAACTAAGTAAGAAAATGGGAGAAGGGTTAGTCCTGGGCTGCATGTAGAATATGGGTTTATTTGCACATTAGAATGCTAGTTTGGACCTACTCATGTAGGCCTGCAAGCAGATAAACCTTCAGGTCAGGTGTTTCTTTTAAATGATAATAAGTTTTTCTCAGATATTTGTGATATCTTGTTCTTGGAGTGGTAGTGAGAGATTCGGGAGTATGGGTGGTACAAGTGGTCTCTGAAAAGCTGACAGGTTTTGGTGAAGAGTATAACGTCTTATGGACAGGGTCACCCTATAATTCATTAACCAAATGGAGACACTTTTGAGAGTGAAAAAAGTGTTATTAATAATCACACCAGAAAACAGGTATAAACCAGGTCTGATTCTGGCAAACTGGACATATGATCACCCTGCTGGCAGGCACTTGGTAGTTATAAAAGGGAATAGATTCAGGGATCTGTGGACCTAGGGAGCTAGTTAAGAGAATAGACTACCACTCAGTTGGAATCTCTAGAATTCATGCCAGTTAAGCTCTTGACAACTAGCCGAAAAGTTGGTGATTTGAACCCACGCAGAGGCATCTCAGAAGACAGGCTAGTGATCTGCTTACAAAAGGCCACAGCCTTGAAAACCCAGTGGAGCAGTTCTGCTCCATCCCACATGGGCTCACCATGATTTGGAATCAACTCAATGTCAACTAGCAATAACAAACAACAGGACTCATTTATGATCAAAAAGTTTCTTAGGTGACCCTCTTGAACACCCTGGTTAAGAACTACTAGGTCTCTTTTTACACATTTCCTCCTCAGAGAGATGCCTTAGGGGGCCCAGTATTCAGCAGTGACCAGTATCTGTCCACCTCTCCAGTTAGGATTCCAGAAAGAGCTTCACTAAGTGATGACCAAAGAGCTACTTACAAATGAAACACATATCTCTTTTGTGTCCCTGACCCATAGTTCCTCCCACATGGAAACTAATTCCAAATTAATTTTGTTTTGTTTTTCAGTTGCAATATTTAAGTGCCTTCCCCTTATCTGAAAACTGCTGGCCCCTCTCTTTGAACAATTCTGTCCAAAAAGGAACTCATTCTAAAATTTCTTCACAGTGATTTCATAGTATAGGAAATAATGTAGAAAATGCTCTCTACAACGTTTACTTTTGTAAGCAAATTGCTGTTTGCCTTGGTTCCCTCATGCTGCTGTAACAAATGCTCAAAAGTGGGTGACTTTAAAGAACAGAAATTTATTTTCTCAGAGTTCTGGAGGCTGAAAGTCCAAAATCAGGATCTCAGCCATGTCAATTCCCTCTTTGTTGGTAGGCCCAGACATTCCTTGGTTCCTTGGCAGTCCTCACATGGCATCTGTATTTTCCCATCTATGTGTATATGGAAACTCCCAGAGTAGCGCGAATGATTAAGCACTCAACTACTAGTCTTAAGGTTGGCAGTTTGAACATGCCTAGAAGCACCTCAGTACACAGGCCTGGTGATCTGCTTCCAATAGGTCATAGCATTGAAAATCGTATGGAGCATTTCTACCCTGCACACATGGGAGTACCATGAGTCAGAATTGACTCAACTGCAATTAACAACAGATGAAGATGTGAAGAACTAGACTACTCTGGCATATACGTGTGTGTGTATATCTCTCTATCTATGTTGCTCTTTATATATTTCATAAGCGATTAGGGTTAGGATCCACCCTACACTGATATGACCTCAACTGATTGAATGATTATATTACATTGCATTATGGAAGGTCATTTCATTACATAACATTACATCCATAGATGTACGGGTTAGGATTCCAACACATATTTGAAGAGGCTAAATTTAATCCATAACACTGTTGATCAAAGAAGTTAATTTTGATGACAAAATTAGCATTTGGTTTGGGACTGTAGTCCTAGGTATCTAGCACCTTTACCCATTCCATTCTGTTTTCTGCTAGAATGAAAGTCACAGAGTAATAGAATTTGTGAGCTAAAATTGTACTTATCTATCTGCCAGGTGTTCTGGTAGCACAGTCGTTAAAGCATTGGGCTGCTAACCAAAAGGTCAGCAGTTCAAACCCACAAACCACTCTATAGGAAAAAGGCCAGGCAGTCTACTTACATGAAGATCTACAGCCCTTAATGGTCTCCTCTCATCTGAAGCAAAGAAGAGTGAAGAAAACCAAGGACATTTGGAAACAATCAGCCCTAGGATATGATGGACCTTGAGACCAGAAGAACTAGATGGTGCCTGTCTACCAATGTCAACCATTTGGGAAGGGATCAAAACTAGAGATCCTGGATGGAGTGGGAGGAAAAATGTGGAACAAAATTCAAAAACACAATAATGACTAGAATTACTGGTCAGATGAAGTCTGGTGGGACCCCCAAGACTATGGCCCTGGGGTACACTTCAGGCCTGGGATAAGACTCACTCCCAAGGTATGGCTCTCAGCCCAACAGTAGTAAGATTTACATGCAGAACACCCAACCCAGGGCTATGTACACACCTACTCTATAGAGATACACTCCTTGGAGCAATCAGCCATGGGGCAGTAGAGGGGCAGCATTCACATGGAGGGAAAGCTGGACAGACAGGAGTGCCTAACTAAGAAGGGCACAGGGAGAGGGGTGTCACGGAGAAGGGAGAAGAGGAGAGTGGGTAAGGGTTGGGGATGGTAATCGGTGAGTGAAACAAAATTTACATCAACTGTTGAATGTAAAACAAATTCTACTCTGTAAATTTGCACCCAAAGTACAATTTAAAAAAAAATAAAAGATTTATAGCCTTGGAAAACCCATGGAGCAGTTCTACTCTGTTCTATAGGATCATTATGAGTTGAAATCAGCTCAATGGCAGTGTGTTTTATTTGTCTCTATGATCTCCCTGAGGATATAAATTGCCTTATTAGCATAAAATATCATTAATTCTAGATTACTTGTAGGTATTGATTATTACATACTTGATTATGGTTGAATGAAAAGCAACCTGGTCCTAGCCTCACCTTCATTGCTGACACAAGCTCTCCTTTCAGTCCTTACACTCAAAACAACTTTTCTATTGTGATTTTTATTTAAAGCATAGTATATTCCTCTTGGGGCACCTGAGGCAACTTGGAGCCTGCTTCTGCCCTCTTTTCCCCTTCCCATTCCCTTGGGACAATTTTATTATGGAAATTCAGCCTTTGACTTATCTCGTGAGCTCTGAGTCCATCTTTTAAAGAGGTGATGAACAAGTCCTCTGATCCCTCTAGGTCCCAACACTATTGCTCTTTAATGATTGTGGAAAATGATTCTCTCTCTCATTGGACTATGTTCCCAGTTTTCTTCATTGTTGTTGTCTTAGGCTGGGTTTTCTAGAAAAGCAAACCAGTGAAGCTTATATATATGTCGAGAGAGAGAAATTTATCTCAAGGAAATGGCTCACACAGTTGTAGAGGCTTTTTGTTGTTCGGTGCCATTGAGTTGGCTTCAACTCACAGCAACCTAGTGTACAACAGAATGAAATACTGCTTGATCCTGTGCCATCCTCACAATCCTTGCTGTGCTTGAGCCCATCATTGTAGCCACTGTGTCACTTCATCTCATTGAAGGTCTTCTCCTTCTTCACTGACCCTCTACTTCACCAAGCATTATATTCTTCTCCAAGGAATGGTTCCCTCTGACAGCATGGCCAAAGTAATTCTCACTTCCAATGAGCATTCCAGCTGCACTTCTTCCAGGACAGATTTGTTCATTCCTCTGGCAGTCCATGATATTTTCCGCATTCTTTGCCAACAATTTGTAGAAGCTGGCAAGTCCCAAGTCTGTGAGTCAAACTTCAAACTGGAGGCTTCTCCTGACCCAGAGAGCTGCAAGGGCTAACAAACCCAAGATTAGCAAGTAAAATGGTAGATTGTTGGTTCACAGGCTGAGAAGGCAACAATGCCAAGATTGGCAGACAATATGGCAGGCCACTTGTTCAGGTCCAGGAACTGGAGATGATTATGACCCAGACGCAGCAGAAAGCCAGAGACCTTTCCCAAAGCTTTTCCATATATACTGGAAACAGGTCACACCCCTAAGGAAACTCTCCTTTGACTGATTGACTGCTCATAGCAGATCTTTTCAAGAAAGTGATTACATTATGTCAGATCTCATCATGGGGATAACTACATCATAACTGCTAAACCACTTGGAATCATGGCCCTGCTATGCTGACATACAACCTTAACTATCACAGTTGTCAAGTGAAAACAGTTGTTTCAGTACGAAAGATGCTGTCCAGAATCCTACTGGCAATAGATTGTAGTAGGTCTTTCCTCCTGGCCTCTTCTTTCTGGAAGTTCACTGAGATTCACCAGCCCATCAAGAAAACTATTAACACATTAGTCTAACTTTAGATTGGATATGGATTAAATGTTGACATCACATAGTTCTATCCAGTTGTCTCATCTTGTTGCTCAAAAATCAAAATGGGAAAATTCAAGCTTTTCAGATATTAAATCAGAGCAGTAGTTGTCACTGCACACGCTGTGTATGTGTGGGGCAGGGGTTGGGGTTGAATATGTGTGTGGGTAGCAAAAAAGGCATGCACTAAGGCCAATTTGTAACCAACATAAATATGAAAAATATAAGAGCAATTATTAGTATATAAGTACAGATTCATATATGCAATATGATCTCCTTCTCCAACCACAGAAACCAAATGATCGAGATCATAAAGTGAGATTGGCAATTGGAAACGGCTTACGAGGAGATGTTTGGAGAGAATTCATCAGGAGATTTGGGGACATTCATATTTACGAGTTCTATGCTGCCACTGAAGGAAACATTGGATTTGTGAATTATACAAGAAAAGTTGGTGCTATTGGAAGAGTAAACTATCTACAAAAAGTGAGTACATTGAAAAATTAGAAAATTTATGTAGCCAGTTTTCAGAATACAGAGATTTCTTAATAAGTTACTTCATGATGATGTTATTGTCAGACTTTCTTGCAGCATCAGAACCATGGTCCCTCCATGTGACACTATCTCTGGTAGTATCACCAAGAAATGTTTTGCTCACTCTCTGTGACAATGACCTCAAAAGTCAGGATCCTCCAATATAAAAATCTTTCATTATTTTTTGTTAATTACAACCTATTTTACCTTTGCTTTCTGCAACTTATGTGAAGTCCTCTTGATGCCATTAATACTTGTGTATGATAAAAGCATATTCTTATGTTCCTTAAGGAGCCCTGGTGGTGCAGTTGTTAAGCACTTGGCTTATAGATTTCCCTGGGTGATTCATATGTATACATATACATTCTCATGTATACATAAGAAACACTTGGGGATCTTGTTAAAAATGTAGATTCTGATTCTGTATATCTAGGGTAGAAATTCTCAGCAGGAAGTTGAACCAGAAAGAACCAGTTCAAAGCCCTGTTTGTACTGGGGTGAGGCTTTTTTAAATGTTTTACACTAGGGTTATCAACCACTGTCCTAGACCTTCAAGAAACCTGGAGTGCATCCCTGTTCCAGGATCTGGTGAGCATCTATCTTTGTCTAATAATTCCATGAAGAAGAAACTCCTTGTTTTAAGCCAGCTCACCTAGCTGTCTCTTTACTCTCTCAGTCATTCTATTGCCTGCAATCTCTGGACAGTCTATTTGCCTATTTAGTGCTTGAGCAGTCTTCCAGATGATCGACTATTCTGTAGGATTCCAGGAATATTCAGGGAATGCTGAGCTCCATTGGCTTGAGCAGTCACTGCCATTATCATGCTTGTGGGTAGCCCATCTCCTTGATCACACTGCAGCCAGCCACACCGGAGCTCCCAGGGTAACTTGTGTCTCCACAGACTGACCGGCAAAATGCAGAGGATATATGCTTAAGAGCTGTGGCTCTGGAGTTCAAATCCTAGCACCACCATATACTAACTGAGTGAACTTGGGCAAATCACTTATGTTCCTTAGGCCTTAGTTTCACCATCTATAAGACAGAGACGAAAAGAAAAAATAGAGAGCAAGTGCCTGGCCCAAACTGGACATTAATAGGGAAAAGCATTGTTGAAAGGCTTGAGTAATTATTAGCTATAATGATTATTATCATTCTATTCCTTATATTTTGCCCTGATCACCAGATATTTCTTGAGTCCAAGGAACCTCTCCAACAATGGCAGCCAAACCTATGCTACTCAGGTCCCTCCACTGTCCTCCAGACCTGCATTGTCTGACAAGGTAGCCACTCCCTGTATGTGGCTATTTAAATTTAAATTATGTAAATAGAATTTTAAGTTAAATCTGTACTCCCACTGAGTCCCTTGATGGTGCAAATGGTTAGCAAGCTTGGTTGCTAACTGAAAGGTTGGAAATTCAAAAAAATCAACCATTGCAAACTCCATGGAGACAATTCTGCTCCAAACAAACAGCATCACAATGACTCAACAACAATTTGTTTTGATTTATATTGGTACTAACTGATTTCAAGTGCTCAGTAGTCACATGTGGTTAGCTACTATACTGAGCAGTGCAGATATAAAATGTTTCCATCATCACAAAAAAAAAAAAAAAAAAGCCTGTTGAGCAGGGCTTCCACAGGCTGAGAATGAATTTTCTACTCCCCACTGCAACCATGGCTGAGAGGGTCAGACTTTCCTAGTTAACCCCTGTCCAACTTATACTAACCCAAATCTTAGAAACTCCAGCTAACTGCAGTTCAAGAAGAAGGAGGTCAAAATCTGAGCACTCAGAGAATTTTAAAATTTCTAATTGGCCTACTAGTGTTAAAACTGAGGCATGGTACAAGCTGTCTGAGACTGTCTGTTGCTACTAAAAAAAACAGACTCATTGCCGTCGAGTAGGATCTGACTCATAGTGACCCCTCCTTGGGTTTCCAAGGTGGTATCTCTAAGGAAGATGGGGCAATCTACTTCCGTAGTGATACTGCCTCGGAAACCCAAGGAGGGGTCGCTATGAGTCGGGTCTGACTCAACGGCACATAACA